AGATTGGAGTCCACCCTGTGGTGCCTTGGAAGAAAGGCTCAGCAGACCTACTTCTGGAAAAATCAGCCATTGAAAACCCTGTGGAGCACAGTTCTACTCTGACACACATGGGGTTTGCCATGAGTTAAAATCAACTCAGTGGCAGCTGGTTGGTGCCAGTCTCTGTGTATCTGTTTTTGGTTGCTTCATTTAATCCTCAGAATAACCTGGAGTGATATGTACTACAGTTTTCCCCAGTGTGTACATCAATACACTGAAGTAACTTGTTGTAGTTTACACTTGAGCAAGTGGCAGAATCAGAATTAGAATGAGAACTTGGGAAGCTACAGAATGAGAATTTAACAGCTACACAGGGGTTGCTGACAGATTGGAGAGAAGGGATGAAGAGGGAGGAGGAGGGGAGGAGGCGTTGGAATTACTTTTAAGTTTCTAGCTTTGACTTCTAGGAATGGTGCTACCATTCAGCAAGGTAGAGACCCAGGAGAAGAAACAGATTCAAGGGAAATAGGGATGGTCAGTGTGGACATGTTGGCGTTGTCTTGTGGGACATCCGGGTGGAGATGGTGGTTGGGTAGATGGGCCTGGAGCATGGATAGGAGCTCTGGGTGAAGATGTCTGCATGGAACCTCAGTGTGTGGGTGTCGGGAAGCCACATAGGGATGACATGGTGGTTCTAGGAGGCTTTGCTGTTGAGGGAACATCAGCATCAAGAGAGCAGTGGGTGAGAAGGAGACAAGAGAGGCCAAGAAGAATGGCCTGAAGGAAGAAAGGAGAACAAGAGGGAGATGGTCTGAAGGCGTGAAAGAAATTTCGAGAGGGGAGCATTGGTGTCAAGCACTGCAAAGAGATCATGAAATACTAGGGCTGGAATCTCACCCTTGAAACTTCACAAGGAGAGATTGTTGGGGATCCTGGAGACAGCAGGGTGGTGGGTAGAACGTGTGCCTGGTTTGGCTCATCAGGCAACTCCCATGGGATTGCTGGTTGGGAACTTCAGGTTAGGACTTCTCCTTACTGCTCAGACACACCTCTGAGAACAGAAGCCAGCCTGGGCTGGTGAGGAGCGTGCAGCAGGAGGTTGAAAACTGGCAGGTTGCTGAGTATCCCTGGGGACTGTGTTTGGTTGGCCTTCACAGTGTTTAAATTTTTTTTTAATTGCATTATCATCACTTACATTCAAAGCACTTCATGTCAAAGGTAATTGTCCTGCATCTCTTGAAAACCCAGAGGAGGGTCAGCACTAGCCTGCCTGCCTTCCCTGGCTGGGTTGCTACACTCTCCATCCTCCCTCTTATGGCAGATGTGTGAGTGGGTGACCCCTGGCTGTCACTGTCTTTTCCAGCTCCTAAAACATGGCCGAGGCCCTGGAAAGAGGATTCAGGTTCTGTCCAAGGCTAAAAAATGCCCTCACCCCCACTCTGTCCTGAAGCAGCTATTACTACCTTCTGGAGGGTTGGCCTGTGTGGGCCTGGTATAGAGGTCTGGTTCCTGCCATCTGACTTCTGGGGTCACATCACAGGGGTGGGAATAGGAACCGCATATCAGGGCAGTGAGAACAGCCCCAAGGGGAGAGGCTCCAGTGGTAGGACTGGCCCTGACACCTCGGAAATATGTGGCTTGACTAAACCATGCCTTCTCTTGGGAACTTAGTTCACTCATGAGGCTTTTTACTGAGGCAGGGCTGTGAGGTCCGATGGAGCTGAGGTTGGGGAGGTATTTTGTGAGCCCAGAGTGGAGTCAATAGAAGGGCCCTTGGGGGCTCTTAATCTGAAGTACATGATACAGTACAATTTCTTTCCACTGTAATCCTCTGTATTTTATTTTGTGCATCCAAAAGCAGTTCTGAGCAGCAGTGTGTGGCACAGAAAATGTTGAGGGTCCCTGGCCAAGATTCTTGCCCATGGCTAGAGCTAATGCATTCCAAAGTATGTTTCCAAGCTTTCCTTAGGAGCCCATGGTCACTGCAAGAAGTCAGGCCTTGGGCCCATTTGGGGTTTGCAGAAGTTGAGGAGAGAAGAAGGTTCAGTGAAGTCTTCAAAATTATCTACTTCAGTTATGAGCCATTGCTGAAGGCTTGGTTCTCTTCCTTTGTGAATGAGAAGAAAATGGGTGAGTCGGAAAGGTAACGAAGCTGACCCTAGGCCCAGCACACAGGGAGGTGGACAACCTGAGCTTGGCTAGGACACAGGTCAGGGCTGTATCCAGGGCTGCCATGGGCTGCTCAGGTAGGCCAAGGGCCACCCTGACAGCTGATTCTCTAGGAAAATAGATTGAGAGAAGAGATGGATTTGAGGCCCTGTATGGTCTCCAGGAAATCAAAACGTCTGTTGGGAAGTCAAAGGGGGCAAGGCCTGCTGGGCAGGGAGCAGCCATTGGTGGCTATGGTGCCTCTGCTAGGCTGGGGCCTCATGTTTGGAGCCAGAGGAAGTGAACTAACAGGTTGCATCCAACTCCTGCCCCTTCTGTTGGGGCTTTCTCTGCAGCAGAGGGAATATGCATGCAGAATCTTTGGGAACAAAAGGATCCAGTGGGAGATTGTGGCTGGGGTCAGAGAGGGCTAATAACAATTGTCTAGGACTTCCATCCCCAGCAAGCATGACACTCCTCCCTCCTCCCTGTAGCCAGCTACCTGTGGCCCTCACCCCTACCTTTCTTTCCATGCATCCCTTCCCTTCCACTCCCCTCCACTTCCCTCTCCTTCTCTCTCTCTCTCCGGGGAGCTGCCTCTCCTCTGTCTTCCTGATGAGCCTGTCACATCCTTACATAAAGGTCTAATCTATACTTTCTATGTCTTGCCAAAACTTGCCTGTGGTGTTTCCAGAGGTCATCAAAGAGTTTGCTTGAGGGAAGAAAGATGGTGTCCAGGAGTGGCCAGATGGCCTGACTAGCGTCCCTTGTGAACTTGCCAGCCAGGGCCAGTCCCCATAGTGGACAACGGGGCTGCTCCAAGCACAGCACAGTGCCCTCCTTCCAGACTGGTTGGACCCAGGGCCCAGTCAGGGAGTTAAGCCCTTGCCTGTGCCCACACCAGGTAGGCAGCTGACACTCATCCATTCTATGTACACTTGTCCAAAAATGCTTTCTAACTTGGACCAGAGATACTATTAAACCAGAAGGAATAGGGCTATATGCTGGGATTAGCTAGGTACCAGGAGAAGTCACCAGTTTCTGGAGATGAAGAAAAACTTATGAATGTGAATTTGTAGTAATAATATTTTGTTGAGTCCACACCCTGACCACAAGTCAGAATATTTGAATTGGGGACTAAGGCGTGAAGTCTGGGGAGAGAGGCATATACTCTCATTAACCACAGGGAACTGTCCTGAGTACCCCCATGTCCTTACATAACCCTTCTCATCCAAGGGTGCTGAAGGCAATGGCTCTGAGCTGGTGTAGCACCTTGTTTCTGCAAGTGTGGCCAGGGACCAGGGTCATTGGCTTATTAGGAGCTTGTTAGAATTCACCCCAAACCTGCTGAATCAGAATCTGCGTGTTAGCAAGACCCCAGTGTTTCACGTGCATATTAATTAATGTCTGAGAAGCATGGGTGTTGCAAAATTAAGACTCCCACAGATCAGAATTCAAACTTGAGCTCCAGTAGCCAGGTGGTTTAGAGGGCGTTCTCAATTTTTTGTGATCCTCAATGTTCTCATTTATAAATTGAGTTAATAGAACTCCCCTCACAGGGTGGAATTTCCAGTATACTTGCAAATTAAGCAGGGACTTGGGAATAAGACACAGTTTAAATCCCAGCTCCACCTCACATACTCAAGTTACCTACTGCCTCTGAGCCTCAGTTTTCCTCATCTGTAAATGGAAGTAGTGATACTACCCACCTCATAACGTTGTTGTATGAACAGTTAATGCAAGTAAAATGTCTGATATGTGATAAGAGCTGTAAGTGTAGCTATGATAATGATGCTGATATCTGTAAAATTCTTAGTACCACACCTGATTCCTAGCAGGTGTCTATTAAAATGTTGGTTTTTTTCCCCGACAGCTGCTACCCCATCTTTAATCAGATGCAATGTTGCCACATTGATTCCTGAAGTAGGAACACACATTTGTGAAATGGCAGTCCCATGTAATCCAAATCCAGACATATATACTGACATAGATTTCTTTATGACTTCGGATTTTAGATGAAAAATCTTGTAAATATATAACATCAAACAATTTAGATATGAATTTGGATGATTATATTTATTGATATAATTAAGTTAAAAGACATGAAGATTGTTCCAGAAAACTTAGAATGTATGGTCACCGTTCTATGGGAATATAAATTTTATGTAATAGCTTATGTTCTCAATGTATCTTTGCACACAAATCCAGCTTCCATTTCTCCCATTTCCAAAATGTCATTTTGTCTCAGGGAAACCAAAGGGAACACTTCTAAGACACCAGAGCCCTGGGATTGGGCATGTTAAACTCTTGGTGTTTCTATTAAGGTCCAGCCATGGTGGAGCATAGTGAGGCCACAGCTAAGCCTCAAGTATTTGCTGTACTGGGTTTTAGGAAATGGTTCTTTTTGGTATAATTTTGCTATAATCTTTGCTTATAGATTATTGTAGAGTCAAACTTGGCCACAGAGTTTTATTGGGGTTACCATTGGGAGGTCAAATGTGAGGATCTGATGAAGTTCTGTTCTCTAAGGTGAGCTTGGAATCACTCCCTAAGAATGAACAGGTTTCGTTTCTGTCTCAAACTTTGAGGGATACTGAAAAACAAACAAACAAACAAACAGAAAACAAAAACCAGATTTGGGGCCTGCTTGGAGAAGGACGACGTTGCTCACAGCTTGTGATGGTGGCACTGATGCCAGCCCCCTCTGGGGCTGCTCTGACACTGCGCTGTGCAGACTTGCCGAGTGAGCTTGCTTCCCTCTGTGCTGTCTCTGGGCTCTTCCAAATGCCTTCTTCAGCAAATTGCACTCTGTGAGGAAACAAGCCCCCACCCCATCTTGTTTTTTGGTTATTTCTCCCACTTTTCTCTTTCAGAGGGCCGCTGCCAAGGTGACAAGTCAATGTTCTGTAAGATGGAAGTCTTGTCTCGCTACTGCTCTATCCCAGGCTACAACAAGCTCTGCTGCAAGTCCTGTAACCTGTACAACATCAGCAATATGGATGACAGGACAGAGCTACCACCTAGCAAGAACAATGACATTGAAGAGCTCATGGCCACCCTCCCGGTGCCCACTCTAGTCATGGAGGTTCCGCCTTCGCCAGGTGCCCCCCTGGGGGTCCCACTCAATGCCTCCAGCACCAATGCCACCGAGGATCATCCAGAGACAAATGCTGTAGATGTGCCCTACAAAATCCATGGTCTGGACGATGAAGTCCAGCCACCCAACCTAATCCCTCGACGACCGAGCCCATATGAAAAGACCAGAAACCAAAGAATCCAAGAGCTCATTGATGAGATGCGGAAGAAAGAGATGCTCGGAAAGTTCTAATAAAATGGAAAGATAGCATCAATAGCATTTTTTTTCTTGCTTATAGAGGTATCCCATGCGATAGCAAATCCTGTGTCATGAAGATGAAGTCAAAATTCCTGACTCCAAAAGGTTTTGAGAAAACAGAGGGGATGACATCAAAAATGTTTGAGCGTGTGCCAACTGGGCTAGCACACATTTTCCAACCCATGAGTGGTCTAAATCCTGTACTGCCAACACCAAGAGGGTTCTGGGTGTTGGGTGGAAAGGAATACAGAAGTTCTTCAACCTCTATCAGTGAGGGGAGGGCAAGAAGGATAACTCTGAGAGATAAAACATTTGCCTCAAGTTTCTGAGCAGTGATTTGGAAATCTTCCTTTCCTTAGTGATGAAAATCCTTCTGGAGACCCAGGACACTTCCTTCAAATCCCCAGGCCAAGGAACAAGCCCCATGAGGACTCTTAGGAGAAATGGTGATTTATTTAACAATTGACCAATTACCAAGAGGAGCACAATGAAGTGGAGGTTGTGAACTTAAATGCCTTCAAGGGCCAGGCAGGCGACAAGGATGAGTGTAGTGTCCATCTGGGGACTATGACCAACCTGAGAGCCATGTCCATCTAGAGCTGGTTGTCAGCTCCAGCCATTCCTGCCACATGCAGATAGTCTGCCTTTTCAGGAAAAGTCAGATGTCTAGACTTCCATGTGAAAACTCGATTTTTAAAGGTTAACTCAAAATATTTTAAAGGGTCTGTTCTGGGACTCTGTGAGGCTCTAGAACCACCAGATTGAAACCTCTGGTTCAGTCTTGGCCTGATGCAGTTTTCTTAATTAAGGACATAGGAGAAGTCATCTGACGTATTTGGTGCTCGCATTGTACTGTGTATGAATATCTCATCCAAATTTGAGCTGTGCAGCAGTTTTTTTTTTTCCAGGAAAGTAGTGAGAACCCTATAACTGGGGACATGAGGATAGATCTAAGTGGTGGGTCAGGTTTCCCGCATCAGTAGAGGGCACTGGGGAGCTCTCCCAGGGCCTCTCTTCCCACCTCTAACCCTGGCCTTGGTTGCCCTCTGTCAGGCTCTGGTGGAAGGCCGCAGCACTCTCCTCTGGCCAGCCTGGCCTCATACCCTGGCTCTCCTAGAGAGGTTCTTTCCCTTCCTAAGTGCAGTAGAAGGATGAAGGAGGCATGCATTTGGCTGGGAAAGTCCCATGAGTGGTCCAAGTCCTGTGAATCTCCCAACCTAGAGGGGCTGGAGTACTGATAAGCCCAAAGATTCTGAGATCCTGAGTTTTTTGGGCTGAGGTTTGCTCCTGAAAAATAGTTTCACTTGTGGAGAATGGGTTTTCCTTTCTAGCCCTTCAGGAGTCTCCCCTCTCCAGCCCCATCCCACTTTCAACCCTTAGGGGACTCTGAGGTTCCAGAATCCAGTAATCAACTCCAAGATATAATGTCTGATGGGAGGCAGGGTGAGAGGTGGGAGAGACTGGTCTGTCCTTTGCTTTTGCTCTTTCCAAACTTTAACAACTTCTATATTCATCATAATGGTGATTTTTGAGCAAGATATGAATTAGAAACAGGAGGAAAGAGAAGGTGTGTGGGAGAAGCATGGCTAATTTTTCTTTCTCACTACACCAACATCTTGTGAATGTGCAGCTTAAACTTCCAAAAATTACAGGACTCAGGGGTCACATTAGCTCTTTAGCTGTGCCTAGCCTGACACATAATTCTTAATCTTTAGATGTCCAGGAAAGTTCTAGAGGCTTCATATTCTCACCAGTCATAGATCTTAGCACTTTTTCTTGTCTAATTCCCCATTATATGGATGAGAACACTGAGGCTCAGGTAATATCATAATGGTGACTTTGTGTTGAGTTTTGAGGTGCTAAGTATGTATGTCTGAATCTGTGTACGGTCTGGGTGTGTCTGTGTGGTCTAAGGAACAAAGGAAGGTGCAGGAAACAGTGAGAAGGACTTCTGGGATTGACGCTTAAATTTCAAACTGGTGATTGCCCCTAGGGTGATAATGACTCCCCTACCCCTGCTGCTAGCATTTTCCACACAAGCCCATACACTGTCCCAGTGTCTCAAAGGAGTTTGCTGGCTCCTAAGAACAAAACTGGAGAAATACTTCTCTCTCTCAACAGTATCACTTCTTAGTACTTTTGTAATCCTGCCTGTCTATAATTGGGAAAAGGATCCCACCACTGGGATCCATTCACTTGGCTGCTGGTGCCATTCACAAACTCAAGGACTGGGCATGTCTTGCTTGGGTCTGTCCTAGAAGGTGGAAGGAGTGAAGGACTAAAACTATACACACCTGTTGCCTTCAAGTCAATTCTGACTCATAGTGACCCTATGGAACAGAGTAGAACTGCCTCATAGGGTTTCCAAGGCTGTAAATATTTACAGAATCAGACTGCCACATCTTTCTCCCTTAGAGCAGCTGGTGGGTTCCAACCGCTGACATTTTGGTTAGCAGTATAAGTGCTTAACCACTGTGCCACCAGGGCTCCTTATAGGACTAACACTAGCCAGGTGGTATTACTCTATTTACCCAGCCAGGAAGCTGTGGGATAGGAATACTCCATTCCCAAATCCCGGGAAACCAGGGCTTCATGTCTCAGGGGCTGAAAGCCTCTGAGGAGAAGCCCTAAGTGGGACATTCCCATGGGTCCCTATCCTCTACTGGAGGGAGAAAGATGCCTTCTGGAACTGTAGACAGCTTGGCCTGGCCCCAAGTGTCATACTCCGTGCTTAGGCCAGACCTTCAAGAGTTCCCCAGAAGTAGATGGTCCTCAGAATCTCTGTCCAAGGCACACAGAGTTCACCTGGCTCTGAGAAACTGTGTCAAATCTCCTTTGAGCATGGGACCAGGTGTAGAATGGGCTTAGAAATAGTCCTCAGCTTCCAAAGACAACTTCTGTGTCTGAGGTGCCCCTGGAGCCTGGAGGAAGCAGACCGGTGTCATTTGTGACAACCTGTTGAGAGACAGAGGTCCTTTTCTCTGTTTGCAGCACTGAGGGGCCTGAGAGCCACTTCTCAGTTTGTGGGGAAACTCATGCTAGATTTTTGGGACTGGCTCTGACTTACCCCTTTTGGTAAACCCATGGAATTTGTTGTATAAGCCTTTCACTTGTATTTTACAGTTTTTTTTTTTTTGTTCATATATAAATGGTGCTCAATAGCAATATCTTTATCTGACGAAGCATTATGACTCTACTTACTCGTGTTATGACAGGTACCTACCATACTGAATCACCACGGTGCTGAACTCAAACCACAACACTTTATCTTACTAACAACAGCAATCAATACATGTTTGATGTATAGTAAAATTTGATTCCTTAATTTTATAACTTATTAAAGTCAAACTGTCTGTGTTTTGCAAATCATGTCTGTTTGTTGCCTTGACTATACTTGCTCCCCACCCCAGCCTAAACTTGTGGGTTGCCTTCAAAAGGCTGAGAGATTGGGGCATGGGAGCACCAGTACTGAGCTGTGGCAGCTCAAGTCAGGACCCTGTGAAGAGCAAGAGGCACCCATTCCAGTGCTCCCCATGGAATCTCCTCTCCCAGCAGTGATGTGACTTAGCCAAGAGCCCCCATCTAAACCGTTTAGTTCAGGGAAGAGATAAAGAATCTCCAAATACTTTCTCCTTCCTGACCACTACCCCTGTCTTCTAAAATTAGAATTGCCAAAAGAAAAAAAAAAAAAAAAACTTAGTCAAATTTGAATTTCAGAGAAATAATTTTTACTATTAAAACATAGATCGTACGTATACTAAAATTTGTTGTTTCTATGAAACTCACATTTAACTGAGTCCTGTATTTTTATTTGCTAAATCTAGAAAATAATAGTAACCCTACCTCCTATAGCCAGTATTCTTCTGTTAGAGAAAAGTCCATTCTCTTTGGCCGTCTTTGATATTAGCAGGTGTTGAGGAAATAGGGGATTGAAGGGCAGAGGAGAAGACTTCTTTTGATATCCCTGGCCAAGTCGGAGGCAGACAATTTTGTACATATTGCTAGAGAAGGGATAATCAGGAATCTTAACTATTTTGTATGGGGATTGGAGGTGGCTTTGGAATGCACAAAATGTTTGTTTTGACTCAGTTTTCAGAGTACAGTTAGTCATTTATAATGGGAGAGAGGCCCTCGCATGAGTGTGTGTGTATGGGGACTAGTGGGAAGGAAGTGGGGTTGGTTAATGAGAAACTGGCTAAGATTAAATATTTGCAAAGGTGAATCATAACTGGATAACATGGTGAGGTTGTTTTAGAAAACAGGTTCTGGGTAGTCGTCGGAGTGGTAAGGAAGGCCCAATCTGTACTTACTGAAGAATGTTGATAAATGGTTAAGAATTAAATGATATAATTACAGAAGTACTGGCCACTACTCCCTCCTCTGGACACTGTCTAAGTCCCTGACTTGCATTCATAGAGCAGCCATGCCAGGGTCATACCCAATAGCTTATACCCTAGTGTTCGTCCTTAGCTATGGGATCACTTGTTATTAGTTGTTGTTGACTCGATTCCCACTCATGGTAACCCCACGTGTGCATATGGATGATCAGTAATTCCAACACCATTTGTTGAAAAGACTATCATTTCTCTGCTGAACTAGCTTTGTATCTGAGTCAAAAATCAACTGGCCATATTTGTGTAGCTCTATTTCTAGACTTGTATTCAAATCTTGGTTCGTAAATACCATTTTCCAATAAAAGGAACCAATGCTCCTTGGGAAAGTGAACAACTTTAGAGTTGGAGCAGGAAAATGCAATATGAGACTGAAGCATTTGATGCCAGAAAGTAAGGATGTGCTAAAAAAGGGAGAGGGGCACATGAAAAGGACACAGGAGCCAGCCTGAAAGAGCAACCAATGGCCAAACATGGAACAATTTGAATAACAAAATAACTAACAATAGTTCTGGATTATAACACAGAATAGAATGAATATTCATGAGTCTATACTGTCACAAATAAATAACTGAATAAATAAATGAAAAAAAAAATTTTTTAAAATAGAATTCCAAATAATATATGTAGATACTCCCCTCTCCAGGAAATGGAGCTTAACTCCTCTCCTTCCACTTAAGTGTGGACTGGATTTAGCGACTTGCTTCCAAAGACTAAAGTATGGAAACGGGTGGGGGTAAGTAATTTTACAGTGAAGAAACCGAACAAACACTACCTTGGCCAGGTGATCAAGGTTAACGTCAATGATGTCAGGTGGGTATCATGTAACTGCTGGAATGATGCAGTGTTTCACCCGTGGCATTCTTCCCCAAATCCCATTAATTCCAGTCTAATGAGAAACATCTGACAAGCTCAAATTGAGGGACAGTCTACAAAATAACTGACCAGAACTCTTCAAAATGTCAAGGTAATTAAAAACAAGAAAAGACTGAGAAACTTTCACAGATCAGAGGAGACTACGGAGTCAAGATGACTAAATGTAATGTGGTACCTTGGACTGGATCCTAATGTACAGAAAAAGGGTGTTAGTAAAAAAAACTAGTGAAATCTGAATAAAGTCTGCAGTTTAATTAACGGTGCTGTACCAATCTTAATTTCTTAGTTTTGACGACTGTACCATATTTATGCAAAATGTTAACATTAGAGGAATTTGGGTGAAGGAGACACAGTTCTTTGTACTA